CACTTCCTTCCTCCCTCAGATGGACTTCATATGCACATTTGGTTGCAGAGAGCAGTGATATCAATGTTGTATTGTGAGAAATCTCAGGTAACAACAGCTATTCTACATTCAGATTGTCACTGCTCAGGTTGTCTAGTAGGGTTTATACATTCCAGGATGCAAAAGACATTTTTGTGTTTCAACCACAATTTGAGTGATCCTCCTGGAAGCAGCTATCCAGTCAGGTAAGATAAGGTGGGGCAGCCTATGTTAGTGGTACCTTTTCTAACTCCTCCCCATGCAGGATAAGCAGAGGGGATCCTAAAAAGGGCTGCTCAGTTGCAATCACAGCTGCTAAATCATCCTCCTGTCCCATTCCAAGGGTGAAGTGACTTCATCCGCCTGCCCCACCATTGAAGTATTTATGTTACGTTGGACATAACCTGATACCTGATACCTCACCTTTGACCTTTCTACCATGGAAGACCATATCAGGAGTACAAGACTCCTAACAGTGTTGCTCTTAGGGTCATCGGTACATGCAAGCCTCTCCACCCTGTCAAGGTGGCAGTTCATGGAGAGGACTGCCAATCTGTCCGTATCCTTCCTGAAGTGTGAGGCCCAAAACTTGACATATTACTCCAGGCTCACCACTGCTGAATGGAGTGGATGAATCACTCCCTTGCAAGTGATGCTCCCATTAAAACAATTCAATAAGCTGTTGGCTTTCTTAGCAATAAGAGCACATTGGCTCATATTCAGCTTACGGTCCACTGTAACCCCCAGGTCTTTCTCTGCAGTCCCACAGACAAGCAAGTCATTTGTGCATACAGGTATTCTGTCTTAAGTACAGGACTTTGTACTTGTACTTACTGAATTTCATCTGGTTGATTACAGACCATTTATCCAGTCTACTCTGGTCATTCTGGATCCTAGCCCTACCCACCAAAGTACCTGCAACTCCATCCAACTTGGTGACATCTGCAAGCACACCACAACCATTTTCTCCGCATTGATGCACATTGTGCTGCTTGTGCAACTGCAAGTGATGCAGTGCCACGAGCATCAGCTCATGTGTGGAGCAGACTCAGTTAATCAAGTCTGCTCTGACGCACCGGATCTCCAGCACTTCCAGGCACCAAAATGTATGTGTATAAATGCCCTACAGATGTTTTAATATGTCCCCTGAGAGTTGGGGGGGAGGGGGGAAGGCTTTTAAATAAAGCAGCTCTGAGAGATGCTCTAATTAAAGCGCCCACAGCACCTTGTGTATCAGCATCCCTGTGCTTCAAAATAGCACTGCTCTAATTAAATGGAGCCGCTTTAATTAAAATGCCCACAGCGCTTTGTGTATCAATGTTCCCATGCTTCAAAATGGCAGCAGAGGACAGCAAATACCTCTGAAATTCCTTCAGCAAATTCCTTCATTACCCTAAGAAGGAATCCCATCTGACCCTGATGACTTGAAAGCATCTTGCTTCAATCATTAATTCCTAACCTGTTCTGTCAGTACGAGGTGTTAGACTTCTTCCCTATCTTTGCTGCCAACTGTGCCAACCATGCTCATCATTTGGTAGTTGCCCTTAATTGTGAAGACCGAAGTAAAAAGGGCACTAATTATCTCACTCTTCCTGCATCATCCCTATGTCATTGCCTTCTACATTCTGTAAGGGACCTATGGTTTCTCTGGTCTTCCTCTTACTTTTGACATTCTTCTAGAATCTCTTTTTACTGCTTTTTAGATCTCTTGCCAGTTGCATCTAAAATTGTGCCTTGGCCTTCTTAATGTTTTCTGTGCACACTTGTGCAACAGTCTTATACTCTTCCCTAGTAAAATCAAGCTTCCACTTTTTTTCCGATTCCTTTTAAACTCTGTCCCAGGGGAGCTGGGGTGACAGGAGGACCCCAGGCCAAAAGAGAGCCCCACTTACCTCTTGCAGAGCTCAGAGAGCCAGAGGAGAGGCGTGCGGTGAAACCACTGGTGAGGGTGATTAGCCGCGCAAATATCCAGCTGTGGCCGAGCAGCGTGGGCGGGAAACACCGCCCGGGAAAGATAAAAAGCGGCCCTGACAATGCGGTGGGTGGAGGCTTGAGGGGAGAGCCCTCACACGGAGGGGATCAGCCACCGTGCCTGGCAGCATGGGAAGCTGGGGGCGGAGCCAGGAGAGGCTCCAACAAAATCGGCAGCGATGCCGACAGCAGAGTTGGCTGGAACGCCGATAGCAGGGCCGGCAGGGAAGCTGGCTGTAACGCCAGCAGCAGAGCCAGCTGGAAAGCCGGCAGCGACGTCAGCCGCAGAGGCGGCAGTAAAGGTGGGAGCAACGCCGATGGAGGATCCAGCAGCTGCACCTGCAGCGGAGCCAGCGGCAGCACCCACAGAGGAACTGGAGGCAGGAGCCGAGACAGCAGCGTCGGGGCAAGCCGGCCCCGAGACCTAGGAGCAAGCCTGCATGGGAGCCTCGGAGAAGAGGTAACAAAGGGGCGTGTCCAACGGGGCCTCATTGGGCCGCACCAGAGGGCGGCCGAAGCCCAAAGTGGGGTTGGACAGTGGACCTTCGTGGCCCACAGCAGCCTTAGGAAGAGGCAGGGACTCAACACCCCAGTGGGGTGAGCCGCCAGGGCTGTGGAAGCCGAGCCCAGGGCAATCCACGCGGCCCAGAGGCCAGGGACACCCTTTTGGGCCTCCTGGCCCAGTAGTTTAGGGGCCTTAGTTATCTCCATGGTGGGATAGGCACGTCACGTCACAGGGTGATTAGTATAGGGTGATAGGGAGTCTTGTTGGAGGGACCAGGTCGGAGGACCTCGTCAACCATAGACCTGGCCCGAAGACTCAGGCATGCAGCTAGCAAGCCGTGGGCAGAGGTTGGGGAAAGAGCTGAGGACACCAAAGGGGCCCAAAGATTGGCAGCCCAAGGTGGCAAGGGGGTGGGGTGTGCGGGGCCCCATGAATGCCCGCCGAGAGGCACAACGACCCTGGAGGCTGCCCCAAGGGGGAACCCCTCCACTGAGGCAACATCCTAAGTCGTGGCAGGCGAGTTAAGGGGACCCCCTGACGTCAGCAAGGGTAGCCTGTGGGGTCCACCCGCAAGCCCAGGACAGACACGATCCATAGTCCGGGCTAAGGCAGCACGGGAGCACTTAATTGAACGGAGGTGGGCACAAATTTATTGAATAGATTGCTGCCTACCTTGGCTGATCTCCTGTTGCACTTTCCATTCTACTTTCACAAGGAGATAGCTTGCTCCAGTGCCTTTAAAAGGACCTCTTAAAAGTACAGCCAGCTGTCCTGGTGTTAGGGGCCCTATCTAGGGCAGCCATCATAGAGGACATTCCAGTTTTCTGCTACTCTGTCCTCTGCCCTCTATTGACACAAAATCTGATGCCTTTATGTCCTCTATTTTTCTCTTCAAGACATAAAGGTGTCTGGTTTTGTATCAATAGAGGACAGAGGACAACCAGATTGTCCTTTATGATGACCACCCTAGTCCTATCTGGTAGCCCAGCCTACGTAAACTTCTCAGCTGGCCAAACCTATTGCCTATACTCCAGCTGGCCCTCACTGGCTGTGTAAAGAGACATGTTGGAAGACATGCTTTATTCTTGGTGAACAGAACCATATAGATAAAGGAGAACATCGATGTCAAGGGCATTGCAACTGGCACTCTGGCATGCACAGAAACAGGCAAATGGACCAATGTGGTTTCAGGAGTTTTTGTCACACCTACTTCAACCATCTGAACTCTAGCTATGAGAGCTCTGCATCTGTAAAGATAACTTCCTGACAATTTCCGAGTTGGGACCAAGGCAGCCGTTATGTACCAGCTACACTATCCAGTTATAATTGAGAAAGATAATGTGGATATTAGGGAAATGGAATGTAGCTAGTCAAACAGGAACCTTGCTAAGGTAAGATAAAGCTCCTTGTCCCTAGGACAGGTGCCATGGGATTTTTCATATACATTAGCATCAAGACCTTGACTTAACCTGTCATCCAGAAGCTCTGGCAATTGCACTGCTGTCACTATTACTCTGAAATAGCATAATTACAGTACCAGTTCAAAGCAAAGATTACTTTCTATAGAATCAATAGCAACCAGCTAATGTAACTCACAGAGTGGCATTCTTCCCTAGCTCCCTTTGTGTACCTAAATGACAGTTTTCTAGCCACATTCCTGTGCCCTCACTACTGTATTGTAGATGTGTGAATATGCACGTAAAGAGTTAGTATGTGCCACTGACACCCCCAATAGTAGGCTCCACCCTATGCTTGCCCCTCCCCTGAATTCCCAACTCCTCTAAGAACCCATAGGCCAAGTGACATAGCTCCATGGGCTGAATCCAGCCTACAAGCCAAATGCTTTTTATACCTGAGCTGGAGTATGGCCCTTGCCAGGGAACAATGGGATTGGGCATCTTACTCCAGGTAATGGTAGGGGATAAGGATGCAAATAATGCCTATTTTCCACATCTGGGGTTGGGTAAGCCAAGATGCTCCTGATCTTAAGGCACAGTTGGTGCCTGAATACAACTGCACAATGACACAAAAATGGATTCAAAATATTTTTAAAATGCTTCAATACTATCTGAACAAAAGTAAGATTCCTAAAAATTGTCACTTAAACCAAAAAATCTGATGTAAAAAACCTACAAAAAGTATGGGCACAGAACAATGGTCATGGGATCCAGAAGTTTGCTGTAGAAATAGAAGAACCAAAGCAGCTTTAGGTCACCTGACCCTTGATAGCTTCATTCATGAATATCTGATGCTATGAAATGGGTTTTGTGCAGTCCCAGTGGACACAGTTCTTGTACAAGATCCATAAAGCTTTGGCACTGTGAGAGGCTTGCATTCCACAAGTGGTATTTTCTGTGGGCTCCTGATAATAGAATGTGCAACTATTCCATACACACCCAGAACTGCTTATCTGGATACCGTAGTTCCTAACTGATTTGGTAGCCTGTCTGGTTACTATAGCAGCCACATGAGGGGAGCCAGAACTTCGTATGAGATGTTGACATACCTGATTGAAGTTATCAAGGGCCTTGTGAAGGTTGGCATGCATCCCTGTCGGGGGTTCGTTAGTGATTTTGATGGAATTCTCCAGGATTCCTTGGGGAATAATGTGGCTGTCAGCTGAAGGTGCAGGCTCGGCACTAATGAAAACACGAAATTCTTGATGGCTGCCTTCACTATGCTGCTCAAGTTTTTTCTCGAGAGAACTCAGCCATTTGGCCACCAGATGGATATTCTAGCAGGAAAAAATGGACAATGCTTTAACTGCTGTCATTTACATCCATAGTGAACAGTCATCAACTATATTGTACAGATGAGTTAAAGCCCATGCTTCAGGCTGTATAAGTTTATACCTTTTCTAATAGTTCTCGAGAGTGTAATTCATATGCACAAACATGTACTGCATATAAAGGATGAAGATTTGCAATTCAAAATAATCATGACAAGTAACTACCAATTAGGGAAACAATTCTGAGGCTGTGTTTTCTTAGGGATAATAACTTGATGTTTAGTACAATACTGTATGGCTGTTGGAGTAGCACATTTCCTAAGTGATCTGAAATGAACATGCTTAATTGTTTTTAGTATAATAACAATGATCACCCTTAATATCAGCGGGCATGTCTACACATGCAATTAATGTGAAATAATAAACTCTGGAGTAGTTTGAGCCAGAGTAAACTACTCCTGGGTACAGAATCTACATGGGCACCTGGGGCAGTAGTAATTTGAGCCAGTGCAGAGCAGGCCTGGGATGGCAAGGGACACAGAGGGCCAGGAGGAGAGTCCAGCTGCTGTTTGCTGGTGCCACTGTTTAAAGAGATAGAAGTCGTTGGCTTGTGGAACCTCATATACCACATGTGAGGCGGGAAGGAAAGTAAGTCACAACAGGTTAGGTCACAAGTCTGTCTTTTCAAACTTAAAGCAAGGATCCTTTCACTTTCTCCAGCTAAGGGTGATGTTACACACTGCATGTATCTAAACTTATATACAGGTGTGCTCTTGGTTATAGTGGTATAAATCTGGTGTACCTCTACCAGAAGCAGATCCAGGCTTTTACAAAGGGGTGTGCAGAAGCACCAACGAACACCACAGGGGTAGTGGCACCCCTACACTCCCAGCCTCCTCCCACTCTTCCCCCAACCCAGGTGGACAGACCATATCATAGGAGCAGTCCAGGATTTAAGTCTCAAAGAAAGTAAGAATGCCCCTCTCCTTCCCCACTCATGCTCAGGGCACATCCCCTCCCCTTTTGCCCTCCCATGCCTGCTGCTGCTGCTGTCCCAGGGGCATGGGAGCTCCTGTTCTGCTCCTACTGCCTGTGTGGGGGCTGAGCTCAGTCCAAGCCAGCAGCTGCCACTGCCACTGCCACCGTCCCAGCCAGAGCCTAGACCATGCACTGCCCAGCCGCAGTGGCACAGGAGCTCCCATTACCCCTAGGGACAGGGGGACAGCAGCAACAACAGGTGAGGAAGGGGGAATTGGGAGTGGATGTCCTTCTGATCCTTGGGTATGGGGAGGGGATTCTTACTTTCTTTTCAGAGGTCCAAGAGACACTCCAGTCCCACCATGGGCTGTGTAAAACTCCTACACTACAGCCTGTGTTACTAGATCATCTGCATTTAACACAGTAAGCAGGGCCAGCTCATCCCCAGCCCCTTCCTTTTGATTGGTTCTGGGGCTGCTTTTAAGGAATTCCTCCAACAACTGAGCTTTGCTGCACAACTTCCTGATCTCAGTCCTTGCAAAGCTGCTGTCTTGGTAACTCCTCTAGCTCTCTGACTCCCTGATATCTGGTTAACTCTCTGATTCAGTGTTTGGACTTCAGTTGATCTCAGCTTGCTTCCTGACCTCTGATCTTTAGTTAGTTCTCTGATTTGGTTTCAGACTCTGAGCTCCAGCCCTCACTTCTTGGTTGGAGCTTGGGCTGCCCTCAGTTGCTTCCAACCTGCAGTTCATCCCTGCAACCCTGGCAGGCCTCACTCCTGCATATACTCACTAGGCATGATGCTCTTGGGAACCCTGACAGGCGGGAGGAAGCATCTGTGCTGGGTTCCATATTTGGCCAGGGACAACAGTGGCAGTGAGTAGGTTCCTCCTTACAGGGCACGTCTACACATGCATTTACTCCAGCCTAGATTTACTGTACAGTAAGCTACTGCACAGTGGGTGCATCTACATGTGTCCCTAAGGCACCATTGTTACTGCACTGTCATTTAGTAATTCCTTTTGGAAGTACTAATTAATGGGAAAGCAATAGCCTATACTACACTGTACTACATTGCCATAGCAACACACTATAGCAAAGGAACACATTGCTACACCAACGTAGCTGCAGCATCATGGTTTGTGCCTGCCGATGCTATGTCACTGTAGTGCATTGCTACGGCAACGTAGCGTCTTGTGTAGATGCTCCCAGCAAGGGTTTTTGGGTAGGTGTCTACACATGCAGGATTAGGAAGATTTGCTCCCAGGTCCCTGCAGCCCTGAAATGGGACCCTACTGCCACTGGTGTGGGGGATCCAGGATCCCCCTGGGTGCTAGCCCAGGGGCTCACAGGGAGCATTGGGCCAGGAGACAGCTGTCTCCTGGCCCCAGGGGGTTGCCTGCTGCTAGGGAAGGGACAGCGTACCCCTGCCCCGGCAGTAAGGAGCTCCTGGCCCTGGCTCCCCGATCACAGACATCGGGCTTGGAAAGAGTTGTAGGAAAGAGGCAGGTCCCAGGCCCCTGCCCTGATCCATCAGTGGGAAAGCCAGCAGCTAGTTCACTGCTGGCTGCCCCACCGGCAGATCGGGGCAGGGTGCTGGGACCTACCCAACCCCTGTGGCTGTTTCCAAGCCCTGTGCCTTGATCACCCAAATGGGGCAAGGGACTGGTACTTGTCCCTGACTGGGACAGTTCCCGGCCAGCCCCCGGCTGCATGGGGAAGTCTGCATGTGCAGCCCAGAGCTGGCTGGGGGCTGCCTGAAACAGGACAGTCCTCAGCCACCTCCAGGCTTCACATGCTTCCCCATGTAGCCTGGGGATGGGTGGAAACTGTCCTGGTCAGGGGCAGGTCCCAGTCAGCTCCAGGTTTGATGGGGAACTGTCCCCATGTAGGAGCTCCCAGCCCCTGCTCCATGATCGCAAATGCAATCCACAATGGCAGGGGGTCCCCACCTGGGCATGCAGGATCGGGGCTGGGGAGCTTGTTCCCTGCTCAGCTCCATGAGTGCAGAGCTGGGGGCGGGGGGAACAGGCTGGGGAGCTTGTTCCTGCCCTCCCCCAGCTCCATGCTCCCAGAGCTGGGTGGGGAACAAGCTTCCCAGCTCTCACCAGCAAGGAGTTCTGAGAACTGGCTCCATGGCCACAGGGATGCTGGCTCTGTGACCACAGGGATGCAACATTTTAACACAGTCTTTTTGTGTATCTTTTTGTACTGAGCCCACATTACCAGTATATAGGAACAAAAGCTGCACTGAGAATGTACAGAATGTTAAAAGTCAGTATACTTTGCAAATAGAACTGGAGTACAAAAGACTTGTTGCCTTCAAAGTAAGAATTCAGTCTCAGTTTCTGAAGCCATTCAACCCAAAACCCCAAGCAGCCTGGGTTTAAAAAGTTCAATGCCTTTGTCTGCAACACAATGGACTTTGTAGTGGCACTTTCCTAGCTAAAATGCATGCAAAGCTTGCTCTATGAGAGAACCCTAAAAAGTCTTTGGAGGTTACAAAACACTCGAGATCAGTTTTTAAAAGCGTAGTCACAGCTCCCCTGTGTCTGACCTGGTGGCTCCAGCCACACCTTACCCTATCCTACTATTTTCTGAGGGGTGGTGTGCCACATCCCCCTTTAGTGAATCCTGGATCCAATCATGGTAGAAGATGCCTTAACAAAGGAACGGTGTTATGAAGGAGGAGGTGGGGAATGTATTTTTCATGAGAGTTAGAACAATGATTAATACAGGAGACAATGCAACTATATGTATCTTGAAAGTTTACGCAGCAGCTGTTTTTCACCGAGTCAGGGTCCAAAATAACAAGGGATTCTCACTGAATTCAGGCTATCAACAGATTCTAATAATATTAGTCCAGTAATAACACAGGAATTAAGAAACCAATGTACATTCATAAAGAGCTAATATTTTATGGAAATATTGCACTAGAAAAAGAAAAACAATATATTTTGCCTTAAATTTCAAAATAAAATGGTTTGAACCCTTATGAATGTAAGGGTTTTAATATACAAATCATGAAGTTTAAAATCATTAAAAAATAAAGTTGAACATTTTTTTTATTTAGTTTGTGTTAATGTCACTAATTAAAATCAATACTTCCTATCCTTTTCAGTATTGATATATGGAACATTTCTGATCTGATGCATAATTGAGTTTTATTGTAGGGGAAAAAGACTCCAGAAATTCTATTGCTAATTTTTCTTTCTTGTTATAATTATTAAAAGTTACATTAAAGGAGGCGAACAAAGATTGCAAGCAGCAGAACATTTGTTAACATTAAGAATTCATAGCCTTGGTTGGAAGAACACTCCCACAAAAGAAATAAGTAAATAAGTATTTTTCATAAAATATGGCACCTATGGCACATTTTCATAGAAAAGGAGGTTTGCAAAAGGTGATTTATAACTCTCAAGGGAAATTTGGAAACTGTTCCAAAGCATGAGCGTTTCCCAGCAGCTAGGAGGAAACATATTCAGTTATACTTTTCATAGTGTATGTTGCACCAGTTTTCAATCTTTTTCACTTCTATAAGTCATAGAACCATATGAAGTTTATAAAGGTATTTCATAGCTTTACAATATGTATTTTTCTCCACCAGATTTTGAAACCCATGAAAGATTCTTTGAATAAGTCAGGACTGAGGTGGAAGTTTATTTCCCTATGCACATCTAAGCAACAGTTTTTAGCCGTGTAAGTGCCAAAATCACATTTACACACAGATAGCAACTCTATTACCCCTGCTGTATGTGCATACTGACAGAACAAGCACATTAGGATATGCACTGTTCAGGCATATATCCTGGTATGTATGTGCACCTTTTGTGGATGCGTACTAACATGTAAAACAGGGGTGAGCAAAATATGGCCCCACAGCCCAATGCATAGGGCTGAGCCCCACCCACTCCTGCCTGGGGCAGCCCATGCAGTCTTCCCCTCCTGCCCCGACCCTTGGCCAGCACACACAGCTTTCCAGTGGGGCTGCTTCAAGTGCAGCTGCAGCTGCCCACGTACTGCTTGGC